CATCCTCTCTCTTCCCCGCTCCCATCCTCTCACCTTCCCCACTCCCATCCTCTCCCTTCCCCACTCCCATCCTCTCACCTTCCCCACTCCCATCCTCTCCCTTCCCCACTCGCATCCTCTCCCTTCCCAAAACCCATCCTCTCCCTTCCCAAATCCCATCCTCTCTCATCCCCACTCCCATCCTCTCACCTTTCCCACTCCCATCCTCCCCCTTCCCAAATCCCATCCTCTCTCTTCCCCACTCCCATCCTCTCATCTTCCCCGCTCCCATCCTCTCCCTTCCCCACTCCCATCCTCCCCCTTCCCAAATCCCATCCCCTCTCTTCCCCGCTCCCATCCTCTCACCTTCCCTACTCCCATCCTCTCCCTTCCCCACTGCCATCCTCTCCTTTCCCAACTACCATCCTCTCTCTACCCCAATCCCATCTTCCCCAGTCCCATCCTCTCCCTTCCCCAGTCCCATCCTCTCACCTTCCCCACTCCCATCCTCTCACCTTCCCCACTCCCGTCCTCTCCCTTCCCCACTCCTATCCTCTCCCTTCCATAATCCTATCATCTCTCATCCCCACTCCCATCCTCTAACCTTTCCGATTCCCATCTTCCCCCTTCCCAAAGCCCATCCTCTCTCTTCCCCGCTCCCATCCTCTCACCTTCCCCACTCCCATCCTCTCACTTCCCCACTCCCATCCTCTCACCTTCCGTACTCCCATCCTCTCCCTTCCCCTCTTCCATCCTCTCCCTTCCCAAATCCCATCCTCTCTCTTCCCCACTCCCATCCTCTCACCTTCCCCACTCCCATCCTCTCCCTTCCCCGCTCCCATCCTCTCACCTTCCATGCTCCCATCCTCTCACCTTCCCCACACCCATCCTCTCCCTTCCCCACTCCCATCCTCTCCCTTCCCGAATCCCATCCTCTCACCTTCCCCACTCCCATCCTCTCCCTTCCCCACTCCCATCCTCTCCCTTCCCAAATCCCATCCTCTCCCTTCCCAAAGCCCATCCTCTCTCATCCCCACTCCCATCCTCTCACCTTTCCCACTCCTATCCTCTCCCTTCCCAAATCCTATCCTCTCTCATCCCCAATCCCATCCTCTCAACTTTCCCACTCCCATCTTCCCCCTTCCCTAATCTTATCTTCTCTCTTCCCCGCTCCCATCCTCTCACCTTCCCTACTCCCATCCTCTCCCTTCCCCTCTTCCATCCTTTCCCTTCCCTAATCCCATCCTCTCACCTTCCCCACTCCCATCCTCTCACCTTCCCCACTCCCATCCTCTCCCTTCCCCACTCCCATTTTCCCCCTTCACAAATCCCATCCTCTCTCTTCCCCGCTCCCATCCTCTCACCTTCCCTACTCCCATCCTCTCCCTTCCCCTCTTCCATCCTCTCCCTTCCCTAATCCCATCCTCTCACCTTCCCCACTCCCATCCTCTCCCTTCCCCACTCCCATCCCCTCACCTTGCCCACTCCCATCCTCTCCCTTCCCAAATCCCATCCTCTCTCTTCCCCACTACCATCCTCTCATCTTCCCCACTTCCATCCTCTCCCTTCCCCACTCCCATCCTCTCACCTTCCCCACTCCCATCCTCTCCCTTCCCAAATCCCATCCTTTCTCATCCCCACTCCCATCCTCTCACCTTCCCCTCTCCCATCCTCTCCCTTCCCAAATCCGATGCTCTCTCATCCTCACTCCCATCGTCTCACCTTTCCCACTCCAATCCTCCCTCTTTCGAAATCCCATCCTCTCTCTTCCCCGCTCCCATCCTCTCACCTTCCCCACTCCCATCCTCTCCCTTCCCCACTCCCATCCTCTCACCTTCCCCACTCCCATCCTCTCCCTTCCCCACTCGCATCCTCTCCCTTCCCAAAACCCATCCTCTCCCTTCCCAAATCCCATCCTCTCTCATCCCCACTCCCATCCTCTCACCTTTCCCACTCCCATCCTCCCCCTTCCCAAATCCCATCCTCTCTCTTCCCCACTCCCATCCTCTCATCTTCCCCGCTCCCATCCTCTCCCTTCCCCACTCCCATCCTCCCCCTTCCCAAATCCCATCCCCTCTCTTCCCCGCTCCCATCCTCTCACCTTCCCTACTCCCATCCTCTCCCTTCCCCACTGCCATCCTCTCCTTTCCCAACTACCATCCTCTCTCTACCCCAATCCCATCTTCCCCAGTCCCATCCTCTCCCTTCCCCAGTCCCATCCTCTCACCTTCCCCACTCCCATCCTCTCACCTTCCCCACTCCCGTCCTCTCCCTTCCCCACTCCTATCCTCTCCCTTCCATAATCCTATCATCTCTCATCCCCACTCCCATCCTCTAACCTTTCCGATTCCCATCTTCCCCCTTCCCAAAGCCCATCCTCTCTCTTCCCCGCTCCCATCCTCTCACCTTCCCCACTCCCATCCTCTCACTTCCCCACTCCCATCCTCTCACCTTCCGTACTCCCATCCTCTCCCTTCCCCTCTTCCATCCTCTCCCTTCCCAAATCCCATCCTCTCTCTTCCCCACTCCCATCCTCTCACCTTCCCCACTCCCATCCTCTCCCTTCCCCGCTCCCATCCTCTCACCTTCCATGCTCCCATCCTCTCACCTTCCCCACACCCATCCTCTCCCTTCCCCACTCCCATCCTCTCCCTTCCCGAATCCCATCCTCTCACCTTCCCCACTCCCATCCTCTCCCTTCCCCACTCCCATCCTCTCCCTTCCCAAATCCCATCCTCTCCCTTCCCAAAGCCCATCCTCTCTCATCCCCACTCCCATCCTCTCACCTTTCCCACTCCCATCCTCCCCCTTCCCAAATCCCATCCTCTCTCTTCCCCACTCCCATCTTCCCCGCTCCCATCCTCTCCCTTCCCCACTCCCATCCTCCCCCTTCCCAAATCACATCCCCTCTCTTCCCCGCTCCCATCCTCTCACCTTCCCTACTCCCATCCCCTCCCTTCCCCACTGCCATCCTCTCCTTTCCGAACTACCATCCTCTCTCTACCCCAATCCCATCTTCCCCAGTCCCATCCTCTCCCTTCCCCACTACCATCCTCTCACCTTCCCCACTCCCATCCTCTCATCTTCCCCACTCCCGTCCTCTCCCTTCCCCACTCCCATCCTCTCCCTTCCATAATCCTATCATCTCTCATCCCCACTCCCATCCTCTCACCTTTCCGACTCCCATCTTCCTCCTTCCCAAAGCCCATCCTCTCTCTTCCCCGCTCCCATCCTCTCACCTTCCCCACTCCCATCCTCTCACTTCCCCGCTCCCATCCTCTCACCTTCCCTACTCCCATCCTCTCCCTTCCCCTCTTCCATCCTCTCCCTTCCCAAATCCCATCCTCTCTCTTCCCCACTCCCATCCTCTCACTTTCCCCACTCCCATCCTCTCCCTTCCCCGCTCCCATCCTCTCACCTTCCATGCTCCCATCCTCTCACCTTCCCCACTCCCATCCTCTCCCTTCCCCACTCTAATCCTCTCCCTTCCCAAATCCCATCCTTTCTCATCCCCACTCCCATCCTCTCACCTTCCCCTCTCCCATCCTCTCCCTTCCCAAATCCCATCCTCTCTCATCTTCACTCCCATCCTCTCACCTTTCCCACTCCAATCCTCCCTCTTTCGAAATCCCATCCTCTCTCTTCCCCGCTCCCATCCTCTCACCTTCCCCACTCCCATCCTCTCCCTTCCCCACTCCCATCCTCTCACCTTCCCCACTCCCATCCTCTCCCTTCCCCGGTCCCATCCTCTCCCTTCCCAAATCCCATCCTCTCCCTTCCCAAATCCCATCCTCTCTCATCCCCACTCCCATCCTCTCCCTTCCCCGCTCCCATCCTCTCACCTTCCATGCTCCCATCCTCTCACCTTCCCCACTCCCATCTTCTCCCTTCCCCACTCCCATCCTCTCCCTTCCCAAATCCCATCCTCTCTCATCCTCACTCCCATCCTCTCACCTTTCCCACTCCCATCCTCCCCCTTCCCAAATCCCATCCTCTCTCTTCCCCGCTCCAATCCTCTAACCTTCCCTACTCCCATCCTCTCCCTTCCCCTCTTCCATCCTCTCCCTTCCCAAATCCCATCCTCTCTCTTCCCCACTACCATCCTCTCACCTTCCCCACTCCCATCGTCTCACCTTCCCCACTCCCATCCTCTCCCTTCCCCACTCCCATCCTCTCCGTTCCCAAATACTATCCTCTCTCATCCCCAATCTCATCCTCTCAACTTTCCCACTCCCATCTTCCCCCTCCCGAAATCCCATCCTCTCTCTTCCCCGCTCCCATCCTCTCACCTTCCCTACTCCCATCCTCTCCCTTCCCCTCTTCCATCCTCTCCCTTCCCTAATCCCATCCTCTCACCTTCCCCACTCCCATCCTCTCACCTTCCCCACTCCCATCCTCTCCCTTCCCCATTCCCATCCCCTCACCTTGCCCACTCCCATCCTCTCCCTTCCCAAATCCCATCATCTCTCTTCCCCACTCCCATCCTCTCACCTTCCCCACTCCCATCCTCTCCCTTCCCCACTCCCATCCTCTCCCTTCCCCACTCCCATCCTCTCCCTTCCCAAATCCCATCCTCTCCCTTCCCAAATATCATCCTCTCTCATCCCCACTCCCATCCTCTCACCTTCCCCACTCCCATCCTCTCCCTTCCCAAATTCCATCCTCTCTCATCCCCACTCCCATCCTCTCACCTTTCCGACTCCCATCCTCCCCTTTCCCAAATCCCATCCTCTCTCTTCCCCGCTCCCATTCTTTTTACCTTCCCTACTCCCATGCTCTCCCTTCCCACATCCCATCCTCTCCCTTACCAATATCCCATCCTCTCTCTTCCCAGCTCCCATCCTCTCACCTTCCCTACTCCCATCCTCTCCCTTCCCCTCTTCCATCCTTTCCCTTCCCTAATCCCATCCTCTCACCTTCCCCACTCCCCTTCTCTCACCTTCCCCACTACCATCATCTCCCTTCCCCACTACCATCATGTCCCTTCCCAAGAAACACCCTGTCCCTTCCCCATTACCATCATGTCTCTTCCTAATATCAATCCTGTGTCTTCCCACTACCACCCTCTCCATTCCCCACTACCACCCTTTCCCTTCCCTCCTGGCATCTGCTCTCTTTTCACCAAATCATCTACCTTCTCTACTCCCATCCTCTCCCTTCCCAAATACCATCCTCTCCCTTCTCTACTCCCATCACCTCCCTTCCACACTCTCCTCTGCCCCCATCATGTCATCATCACCACTCCATTGCCTTGTCCTCCCTCTGCCCCCATCATGTCATCACCACCACTCCATTGCCTTCTCCTCCCTCTGTCCCCATCATGTCATCATCACCACTTCATTGCCTTGTCCTCCCTCTGTCCCCATCACGTCATCATCACCACTCCATTGCCTTCTCCTCCCTCTGTCCCCATCACGTCATCATCACTACCCCATTGCCTTGTCCTCCCTCTGCCCCCATCATGTCATCATCACCACTCCATTGCCGTCTCCTCCCTCTGCCCCCATCACGTCATCATCACCACTCCATTGCCTTCTCCTCCCTCTGCCCCCATCATGTCATCATCACCACTCCATTGCCTTGTCCTCCCTCTGCCCCCATCATGTCATCATCACCACTCCATTGCCTTCTCCTCCCTCTGCCCCCATCACGTCATGATCACCACTCCATTGCCTTGTCCTCCCTCTGCCCCCATCATGTCATCATCACCACTCCATTGCCTTGTCCTCCCTCTGCCCCCATCATGTCATCATCACCACTCCATTGCCTTCTCCTCCCTCTGCCCCCATCACGTCATGATCACCACTCCATTGCCTTGTCCTCCCTCTGCCCCCATCATGTCATCATCACCACTCCATTGCCTTGTCCTCCCTCTGCCCCCATCATGTCATCATCACCACTCCATTGCCTTCTCCTCCCTCTGCCCCCATCATGTCATCATCACCACTCCATTGCCTTGTCCTCCCTCTGTCCCCATCACGTCATCATCACCACTCCATTGCCTTCTCCTCCCTCTGCCCCCATCACGTCATCACCACTCCATTGCCTTGTCCTCCCTCTGTCCCCATTATGTCATCATCACCACTCCATTGCCTTGTCCTCCCTCTGCCCCCATCATGTCATCATCACCACTCCATTGCCTTGTCCTCCCTCTGCCCCCATCATGTCATCACCACCGCTCCATTGCCTTCTCCTCCCTCTGCCCCCATCATGTCATCATCACCACTCCATTGCCTTGTCCTCCCTCTGCCCCCATCATGTCATCATCACCACTCCATTGCCTTGTCCTCCCTCTGCCCCCATCATGTCATCATCACCACTCCATTGCCTTCTCCTCCCTCTGCCCCCATCATGTCATCATCACCACTCCATTGCCTTCTCCTCCCTCTGCCCCCATCACGTCATCACCACTCCATTGCCTTGTCCTCCCTCTGCCCCCATCATGTCATCATCACCACTCCATTGCCTTCTCCTCCCTCTGCCCCCATCACGTCATCATCACCACTCCATTGCCTTGTCCTCCCTCTGCCCCCATCATGTCATCATCACCACTCCATTGCCTTGTCCTCCCTCTGCCCCCATCATGTCATCATCACCACTCCATTGCCTTCTCCTCCCTCTGCCCCCATCATGTCATCATCACCACTCCATTGCCTTGTCCTCCCTCTGTCCCCATCACGTCATCATCACCACTCCATTGCCTTCTCCTCCCTCTGCCCCCATCACGTCATCACCACTCCATTGCCTTGTCCTCCCTCTGCCCCCATTATGTCATCATCACCACTCCATTGCCTTGTCCTCCCTCTGCCCCCATCATGTCATCATCACCACTCCATTGCCTTGTCCTCCCTCTGCCCCCATCATGTCATCACCACCGCCCATTGCCTTCTCCTCCCTCTGCCCCCATCATGTCATCATCACCACTCCATTGCCTTGTCCTCCCTCTGCCCCCATCATGTCATCATCACCACTCCATTGCCTTGTCCTCCCTCTGCCCCCATCATGTCATCATCACCACTCCATTGCCTTCTCCTCCCTCTGCCCCCATCATGTCATCATCACCACTCCATTGCCTTGTCCTCCCTCTGCCCCCCTCATGTCATCACCACGCCATTGCCTTCTCCTCCCTCTGCCCCCATCATGTCATCATCACCACTCCATTGCCTTGTCCTCCCTCTGCCCCCATCATGTCATCATCACCACTCCATTGCCTTGTCCTCCCTCTGCCCCCATCATGTCATCACCACCACTCCATTGCCTTCTCCTCCCTCTGCCCCCATCATGTCATCATCACCACTCCATTGCCTTGTCCTCCCTCTTCCCCCCTCATGTCATCACCACGCCATTGCCTTCTCCTCCCTCTGCCCCCATCATGTCATCATCACCACTTCATTGCCTTGTCCTCCCTCTGTCCCCATCACGTCATCATCACCTCTCCATTGCCTTGTCCTCCCTCTGCCCCCATCATGTCATCACCTCTCCATTGCCTCATCCTCCCTCTGCCCCCATCATGTCATCATCACCACTCCATTGCCTTGTCCTCCCTCTGTCCCCATCACGTCATCACCACTCCATTGCCTTCTCCTCCCTCTGCCCCATCATGTCATCACCACTCCATTGCCTTGTCCTCCCTCTGCCCCCATCATGTCATCATCACCACTCCATTGCCTTGTCCTCCCACTGTCCCCATCACGTCATCACCACTCCATCGCCTTCTCCTCCCTCTGCCCCATCACGTCATCACCACTCCATTGCCTTCTCCTCCCTCTGCCCCATCATGTCATCACCACTCCATTGCCTTGTCCTCCCTCTGCCCCCATCATGTCATCATCACCTCTCCATTGCCTTGTCCTCCCTCTGTCCCCATCACGTCATCACCACTCCATTGCCTTCTCCTCCCTCTGCCCCATCACGTCATCACCACTCCATTGCCTTCTCCTCCCTCTGCCCCATCACGTCATCACCACTCCATTGCCTTCTCCTCCCTCTGCCCCTCACCAGGTCCAGAACAAACCCGGAGACAGGAAAGTGTAATTATTTTATTTAACTGCTTTCAATATTTACATGCAATACATGCAGCATGGTATGGTTTAATAATGCAAGACAATCAAAGAATACAAAGTATCTGAAAGACACATGGTTACAAAGAAATCAAGTCATCACAACATCACTAATAACAGGCAGCGTGGCCTTGTACCCCATTGATATCACCGGAACTAAGAGTCAGAGAACTGTACTCAGACTGTACTGTTACTCCTTCACTTGGTAAGCAGCTTTCCCTTGAACCTGATATTATCTGATTGCAGCAGAATCCTCAGAGAAACAACAACTTATCCCCTTTTCTTGGTTTTGACAAAATAATACAGAGGTCAGGGTTTTGCCTTATTCATTTCTAGGGTCCATACAGGAGATATGAGTCTATGAAATTGTGTAGAGTACTGAAAGATTAGAGAGTTACTTTAATTACAGGAGCTTTATATGTCTTGTCAAGAATTTGGTACAATGAATATTATTGTCTGTCCCTCTGAATATATTTCAGGGGGGTCCATTTTACACATTTGTGTGTACAGGATGCACATTTCTGCATCGCATAGAATCCTGTGAGGTGATTGTCAGGGTTACTCTTCCAATATGGACAAGAATCAGCACCTCAGTGTAGATGTAGCATGACCACTGGATGTTTGTTTGTTTGTTTAGTTTGTTTAGTTTGTTGTTTAACGCTGCACTCAGAAATATTCCAGCTGTATGACGGTGGTCTGTAAATAATCAAGTCTGGACCAGACAATCAAGTAATTGACATCATTGATCCACGCAATTGGGATACGATGAACCAAGTCAGCGAGCCTGACCACTTGATCCCATTAGTTGCCTCTTACAACAAGCATAGTCGCCTTTTACGGCAAGCTTGGGTTGCTGAAGACCTACCGGTATTCTACGCCGGATCTTCATGGGTCCCACTGGATGTAAAATGGCTGTGTCACATTTATGGTAAACAACATTGCAAAATTACAGACAGGATTGTATGATACATGGATCAACTTGATGAAGTAAATAGTTCTACAATTTGCCATTCAACTGACCTATTGGAAACTCAGTGATCACAAACTCAATGCCACTTCTAGGCTGGTTACCTGCCCTTGTGCATTACACCACAGTGAGACAAAAACAGGATGTGATGAACATGAGAGCCATTTCATTAGGGACCGGTCATTTATTACAGAGGGTTGGGTGTAGGTCAGATGTGGTTGATGCACTAACGTACTGAAAATAATGACCCACACCTTATTCTTATCATATTTTTGGATGACCCTCCCCATGTCCTTGTACATTTTTTTCATGACCCCCCGAACATGAAAATGCAAAAGCACTATATATAAGCCCCACCCCCCACGCCATGACAAAATGACCAGTCCCCTTAATATATATATATGAGGATACTTAGGATAGATATTATGTAATATTTAATGCAGGTATATACAAGAGTTCCAAAGACACGGCTACTGTGTTTGACTCACTTTTACTTGACCATCTTTTGTTTGGGACTCTTGATGCTGGCAAAAACCTCATCAATGTCCAATGTCTAGTTTCTGTATTCTTGTGTATTATTTTGAATCACTCATGCATCATGTTTTATCGTATTGCCTCTATATTAGTGACATACGGTTGTATTGCGAGTGTTTTAGAAGTGCCCTTGTCGAAGGCTTCATTGAGGTATTGTTGTTTCAAAGATGCAAATCTAACACTAAGATTAAATATATTACAAAACAACAATGGTGTTTCAAATGAAGTTGCGATGTTACTGCAATGTCATTATGACTGTTATCAGCATTACTTCAGCCATTTCACAGTGACTGTAGTCAGCAATATTTCAGCCATGTCACGACGATTGCAGTCAGCAATATTTCAGCCATGTCACAACGATTGCAATCAGCATTATTTCAGCCATGTCACGACGATTGCAGTCAGCAATATTTCAGCCATGTCACGACGATTGCAGTCAGCAATATTTCAGCCATGTCATCGTGATTGCAATCAGCAATATTTCAGCCATGTCATGGCGACTGCAGTCAGCAATATTTCAGCCATGTCACAACGATTGCAGCCAGCAATATTTCAGCCATGTCACAGCGATTGCAGTCAGCAATATTTCAGCCATGTCACAGCGATTGCAGTCAGCAATATTTTAGCCATGTCACAGCAACTGCAATCAGCAATATTTCAACCATGTCACAGTGACTGCAATCAGCAATATTTTAACCATGTCATGGTGATTGTTTCAGCCATATTTCAGCGATTGTTCTCAGCAATATTTCAGCCATTGCCTGTCATGGAAAGTTGTCTGAGGCAGACACACTGGTGGATGATACTGTCATACCATAGGCAGTACCTTCAAGCCATACATTACCACTGGCCGTCCCCTGCCTTGGGAGACATCAAACACAAACTGCTGCTGCTACAAGCACATACGATGATGGGTGATGCAGCTGAGACACACAGCTACAAACATGCGGCTGCACTGATGACAAGTGTTCACACACACCTAGTTTTGAAAGCTGTGTTTTTTATCAAATTGAAAAACAGATCATATTACAAACATATTATTCACAGATAAACGTTACTCCTGGAAAACCCACACATGATAATGATCGGCACCATGTTACTCTTTGATGGCCTCAGTGATAACATAATCCTTGTTCACAGATTTAGCAGCAACTGTATGTGTTTTCCCATCTCAAGTATAAGGTGGAAAAAGAAAGAGATTATATTTTTTAAATCTAGTCTCCATGAACTGACACTGACAAGGCCAGGTAACATCTGGAATAAGCACAGAAATTTAGTATGGAAATTTTAAAATGTTGCACTCATGTGAGTAAATTGGTTGGACGGCCAATCCATTGGTTAGCCAATCAAACGTCATGGAATCACTTGCAATGTATGTATTACACTGGAGCCATCATCTGTCAATCCTGAATTTGGTTATCCAGACAACTTGGGAACAGTGGTCTGGATAAACAGTGTAGATGCAAGAACCCAAAAACTCTGAAACGCTCGCATCACAGGGAATTTATTGTCAGTGTCATATCGTTAAATGTTTCACACTGAAAGTTTCGTTTGCATCACGAACTGTTAACGTTGAAATGATGCTTCCAGTGACGAAGTGACGAGGTGACGAGGTTTAGAAAAATTTGTGCTCCAACATACTTTCATACAGACTGTGACAATCGGCAGGCAACATGGAGGATCACACAGCACATGAACATCTAATGCATGGAGATTGTGTGCTCAGACCTGATCACATGACAGGAAGAAGTGAAACTGAGGCTTCAATATACATTTCAGATTATACAAAAAAAACTCATTGCTGAAACCTGGGTTTGAACTCACAACCAGCAACCTTACTGGAATTCAAGTCTACATCTATATCCACCGCACCACAGAGAAGCATGAGAGCTCCTGAACAAATTAACATCATAAACCTAATCAATAGAAAAAACTTTCATCTTGGCATATTCAAACAGAGTCTCACAATATAGATCTTTACAGAGGCCATGACCTCTACTAATATATACACTACCCAGGATGTACTGGTAGTCTGGGTTACACCACAATACAAATAACAAATAACAGTACATAACAACTATATACATGGGGTACTACAGAAGATATGAATAATGGCCAGATGTTTTTTGTTCCTTTACAGCATCAACCTTCATTCAACAAAATGTCACTGGCCAATTTGTTGAAAAGTATTTTGGCAATTTTATATGGTTTCTATATCACATGTGGATAATTTGTCTACAAACGATTTATATTGTTTGTAAAAATATTGAAGTATTGAACCAGGATCGTCATTCAGCATGTTCATATAATGTTTGTCTTCTATTTTTTACCTTGCTTATTGTCAAATATCTTACAAGAGACAACAAAATAGAATTAATTATTCTATGGTCTCTGATCTAAGAAAGGAAACTGTAAACAGGAAATCCCCAAACACATCTTGAAAATACACAACCTCAAAACACACAACTCAAAGTTTTCAAATTTGATTAGGAAAAGCAAGTTAAGAAATACCTAAGTAGGAAATGTTTCACCTGCACTGGTGTACCCCAATATGTATTCATCTTGATAGGATACACGATACGGTTCTCCTGTGTTCAGAGAGTGGCATCACAGCACAGCTGCATTAATTTAAACTATGTAGCTTTTTGACAAGCACGAATATATATCATGCAGCATCTGGGCGTATAGTTAATAATACATAAGATGATCGTAGCTCTAAGATCAAATATTATTTAACTTCTTATTTTCTAATTTCGGAGGTTTTTATCATTGTATTCTAACACTGCATTCAATGCAATAACTTGACATATCTACATATAATTATATAGATATATTATTTAGATATATAAACATGAACTGGGAATATCTTAATTCCTATTTGAGAATTTTTGCAGACATTTGCTGCGGGCTTGGAGTGAATAACGGCCTCTGAGCAGGTCGAGATAAATCCCTCTGTATGATAACATATCTTAATATGGTGCACAAAAAACACTCAAACCTTCAATTAATGTCAAAAAGAATTTGGATCAGCAAAATTCAGTTGAGAGAAGTCTGGAGAACGTTTTCACATTGAACAGGTAACAGGTTTTTCCACCGGTGGCCATTGTGAGTTATGTCCCTCCTAGTGACCAAACCTCTCATATCACTTGCATTTGCTTTAAACAAAATGGCGGCACCCAGTTAAGATGATCTGATCGATAATCAAGATCAATATTGTAATATAATGGGTCTTACCCTGCAAAGAGCATCAAATAATTTGAGCACCTTGATTAAAAACTTGAAATGATTTGCAAATTTTCTGTCGACGCCAAGTTGGCGGTACGCATGCTTTGCAAATTCCTGCAGTTGACCAAATTCTGCACATTTAAATCCATGTTATTTACGAACTAGAAGTCTAGTTCATTACATGATTTTGACTGGACTATGCATAGTCTTGTTAGTCCAGGCAAAATGTAATTCCGGAATTCCAGCAAGGGTGGAAACTGGACTTTTATAGTCAGTGTTAATGCCCTTGCATCGGAAAGATGCAGGTTTTGTAACAAATAAACAGTAACAGCTAAACAACAACTATTAATGATATACACAACAAATGAATGAGCCAGTCCAACAACCTACACACAGACACCTAGTTAGTCTGGACCTCGTTAATCCGGAAACCTTGCACTCCAGAATGTCCAATACATACAAAGGACGTCACTGGCTTACAATGATTCACTAAACCAGGCACTTGTTAATGCAGATGGTCATACTTGCAAAGGTACATCCAGAATAACAAGGGTTCACTGTACATCTAGACTTTTCTACTGGTTGTAAAAATATGTCAACACCCATGTTTTCAGCGTATTCTTCTCTCACTGTCGTACTTCTAGGTGTTCAGAGGGCAGTACAAAAATAGTCAGCTTCTGTATATGAATAAGAGTGAGTGAGTGAGTGAGTATGGTTTTACGCCGCTTTTAGCAATATTCCAGCAATATCACGGCGGGGGACACCAGAAATGGGCTTCACACATTGTACCCATGTCGGGAATCGAACCCGGGTCTTCGGCGTGACGAGCGAACGCTTTAACCACCAGGCTACCAGACCGCCCCTTATATGAATAAGAGGCCAAAGAAGTATGAATGCAGTTATTGAGGATAAAGTTTACGATGCATGATAATTGTGGTTCTCTCAAGGTTTCATGTTTTAGCCATAAAAATAAATCACTATGAGCATTTTCTTTTGTTACTTGATAGAAACACCAAATGCTGAGTCACACCAAACAGTCCTGCTTCATGTGAATCACATCTAATGTACTCAGATGCCTTTAACAGTTGGTTTTAATATATACCTAAAAAATAAACAAACCTCCCATTTCTCCTTTTGGAAATATTGGGATGAAAATATAATTAATTTATTATGGCCTACTGTTAACATATACCGTATTCGACATAATAAGTGCCCAGGGCGCTCTCAAAATTAGAAATAGGGAGCTCTTATTAGAATATAATTTTGGTGAGAGATCGTATATTTTGTGGTTTATGCTGACAGCCTGAAATGATACAAAAGAAAAGTCTGTGCATATTATACACGACAAATATATTTTTCCAGAATTTAATTGCCCGTAATTAAGGGTGCATATAACACACGATTGTGTTTTATACACGAATAAATAAGTCTTGTGTACATTGATCAATCGGAAGATCGGATTGTTCACTATCCAATATACATGTATTAGCAAATATCGCCCTGGGTGCTTATTACAGCGGAGCGCTTATTACGTTGAACACGGTATTAGTAATCTTGTCATCAACCAGGGCTTATGCCCTTCATTAAATGTCAGTGGGTAGCCTAGCCTAGTGTTCACTCACCCCACCTAAGTCCGGGGTTCACGTCTCCACATTGAACCAATGTGTGAAGCACAATCTTGGTGTCTCCTGATACAATCTTGTTTGGGAAAATACAACTCACTCACTCACTCTCTTGACAGAGCACCTGCTGGACATTTCCGCCATTATTAGACAGTTGGACTAATTACATGAACATTAACAATTAACTAAACTATTTTATGTTATTTTCTGATTGTGTTTTTTGGCTGTTTGGTTGAATCTGTAAAATAAAAATATGTTGCCTTATTGTTACTCATACATCCTTCACTCAGGATACATATCTGCAAATTAAAATGACTCAATAAAATAATCAATTGTTATCTTATTTTCTAATTTCACCTATACTCAGCTAAATAAATCTATGAACAAAAACACCTGACACATCCTCTACTCTACTGATACAACATCCATTACACATTTAGCACCTTTAAAATCACTTAATTCCATTTTATATTTTATATTTACATATATCAACAAGAACGGTCACCACTCTGTCCACTGTACAGGGAGTTGATTTTTATGTCTCACTTCAAAATTCCTTGTAAAACTGACAAACAGATACTTTTCTTTCCCAGCCAAACAGAATCAACCATACAGGTGAACATACATAAAGTTCTCCTCTGTTCTAATTTACACTGAAGGAATCGTTGTCGTCGTGGTTACTACAGATATTTACCCCAGGTACATTTCATTATACAGAAATGTTCCCTAACCAAAATTAGAACACAGATATACAACTTGAACCGGTTTGAGGAATGGACTCGTATGCCACTTTGGGTACACGGTACTATTCTGATCTTGATCAGGGTACATTTGTGTATGGGTACATATCTGTAGTACCCGTGCCGTCACCCCCTTCAGTTGTAATGTACTGTACAGCAACTGTGAGATACATCTAAGCAGGATATATAGAGGTTATCACGCTACCCATTATATGATATAGTGGATCATTTCCAAACAAGACCCATATCATTCCGTATGACACACGTTGCATAGGTTCTCAACACTTGTGATGTCTCCACCGCCTCCTTTCCAATTGTCTGCAGTCTAGCTTGTCAGGCAGTAGCCTAATAGCACGTTCAAAATGGAGGCTGGACTTGTTTCACAAGGGTGTTGCGCCCTCTATCAAGCTAGTTGTCTCCCCTGCGTTATACTGGACTTTAGCTTTACACATGGGACAAATGTTCCGGTGCTGCAGCCACTGAGTCAGACATCTGGGAAGTAATAAGATAACAAATAAATATCAGTTAAGCAAACCATGAACCAAACTAGTTTCAATATCAAAATGCCTTTTTTGGTCTCTCTGTGACCACCTATTCGTTTAAAACCACGAACTTGCACAATCCAACAATATGACACTGGAATAGTTTTTGTTTGTTATCATCTATAGATATACTTTGTAACTTGTATGTATTTAAGATTGCATGTGAACTATATTCTGTAAACATATTGTTTGTGAACTCCAAAAAGAAATACAATAATATGAAAAAAAATGCCTTTATCCTTCAATTTTAATTAAAAAAAACAGATAGTGTAAACAAAAACACTTTAGCTGGCATATTTTATTGTGACCTTGTCCGTTGACCTTCTCATGACATGACTTTCATTGTTGTTATGGTTACAAACATCAAAGGTGAATTATAGCACATTTGCACTAAAGATTCTGAGTATAAGCTTATTTTAGCAAAACTGGATGCATTGAACAAACTTAAATCAAAATCAAACTTAGGTTTCAGCTTTTTTTCAGAAGAAAACGTTCTAACATTTAATGAAATTTGAAGAATTTCTATTTATTCTTCACCTAAAAGTAAAATCATAAAACTTCAAGAAACATATATGACGTATTTCTGCTTCATCAGTCAAACAGTTTCTGTATTACCCATAATGCAATAGTAAACATGCATGTCACAGACATACCCTACAGGAGATTGGAAGGTTCACATCAGGGCTGGATTTAAGGAACTTGATTTAACTTGCACAATGTTGCAATGGAACCCAAGTTGCACCAAACAAAATCAGGCTGCACCCTGGTCCCATTAATTTATCAAAGTTGAAACATTGGCTGTCCTGTTGCCAGTGTAACATAAATTAATGTTACATTGCTGTAAAACGTAAAGGAAAATGTGCTTATCTTGAAGCACCCACAGTTTGATTACGTCAAACCTAAGAAAGATGAGAAATTACACATAACAGGGATTAGTGATGTAGAATGGTAAACAAACTGTAGAGGTATTGAGTTCAAAGATGGATTTTGTGTGGACACAAACTTGAAATGTTTTGACATGCACTTGGTGAATGTAGACATATATATTTAGCTTGCACTTTTCAAAACTGGGTTGCAATGCTGCATGCTTCACATAGCTAAATCGAGCCCTGCAAACTCCATTCACCAAATGCATGCTTATTAAGTGAATTGCCTATGCAGCGTAATCTGGGCAGAAGAGAGGATATTGTTTATTCACAACGCTTTTGTCGGCTATGTAACAATGGTTGTATTGAGGACGAAGTCCATTGTGTGTTTGTCTGCCCGTTTTACGCATCATTGAGACAAAAGTATATTTCTGTAAGATTCTATAACAATCCATGTATTAATACTTTTAGCAATCTCTTATACAGCCAAAATGACTGTATACTCAGAAATGTAGCTAAGTATGTGAAGGAAGCTCTATTATTATGTACAAAGACCTAATATTATACCCTTGGTATTGTTTTCAATGTAAATTGCCTCAATTGTGTGTTACCATATATAACTGAAATGTACATGGGCCTATGGCCTCCCATACATGAAGAAACATAACGTTGAATGCTCATGCGGTATATTATTATTACCCTGGCTTGAGATCAGTGTGCACTAAAATTACATTCTCAGCTCCCTGGGGAGGATCAGGTGGCACGCTCTGTGACTTGGCTGAATGAGTGACATGTCCCAATGACGTGGATGTGATCTGTTAGCCACTGGTTTGTCTGGTCCAGGTTCAAATCCCAATCATATTTCAAGGTCTAGACATATAATTGAAATACTGTTGAAAGCTAACTCACTCACTCACTCACTCAAGAAACAGCAGTAAAACTCACTTTTGATGGAACTTGTGCTTACAAGGACAGATGGCCAGTGTTTCTTTGTACTTGAACTCCTCCAGGCAGACGGCACATGTCTGAAACAAAGATGGTGGTTTCACAGCCAGAAGACTTACCCTCCATTAGGCCTCTTGTCAACTCTTTACTGATTTTACGATGTTTACATGTTCATAATCTTACCTCAGTTTCAGCTTTCTTCTTTACCTTCACTGTTCGAATCTGTAAAGAAGATATTGGTTTTGATATTTTAATTAAAACAAGAAAACAGCGTTATCCCTAAACCCTGCAATAAGGCACATGAGAAATTTGTTTGCTCATATAGTATTGAATATAAACTATAAAAAAAAAGAGTCTTAAAAAGCCTTGAGAAGAGATTGATCGGTTTATGTTATCAGAAAAAATGATCAAATGTAAAATTAATACACACAAAATATAACTCAGTCATGGTAAGTGTCTGTCAGATAAACTAACTCAGTAGTTTCTGAGAAAACTTGTCCCCATTGCAGACACCTTGTACCAAGTAAAATAACATGGATCAGGGGCCATAACTCTGTAAACAAATGATTTATGGGACCAATTTTGGAACTCAGTCTTGACAAGTATCTCTTAGATAGGCATGCTAACTTTTATTGAAGTAACTGTTTCTGAGAAAACTTGTCCCCGTTTCACACAATATGCACTAAGTTGAAAAACACGGTGCAAGGGCCATAACTCTGCAAGAATTGAATTTACAACACCAATTTTCAAACTCACTTGAGATCATGACCAGTTTGTGTACATTTCATATCTCTGTCTTCAATAGTTTTTGAAAAAATTGGTCCCCTTTGAGAACCGGACAGACAAAGTTCGTTCCAATATCCCCCCATTTTTGTTGTATGAGTGAGGTTTGTTTTAAGCTGCTGTCATATATGAACAGTATTTCAGTTATGTAATTATGTATCATCACCATATATGTATTGTATCACTAACAAAGTATTAACTTTGTATAAACTTTTGTGTTCTATTTCCTGGGATGTGACACTATCACATTTGCAGATGTTGCATTGAATAAAACTCTTAATGTGACAAACTTCTCTTTGCATTGAGCTATTCTTAACCAAATCAGTGGCTTTAGGAGTGTAAAACATTTGGTTATAAACTTCGCGTACATTAATGGAGTGACCATACAGTCAACTACATACAGTGAACTAGGGCAGGGACGGGTAACTGAGGTACCCGGGTCAGGTGGGTACTGAGAAGGACCCAGGTACCCACAAGACGGCCCGGACCCGTGGTTTGTCACGTGATATATTGTTTAATGGCAAAACTGATCTAGAACTCTATGGTTACACTACAACTCACTAATGTTCGCATTTCTTTCTGACTACATGGACTATGCACCCATTTCTTCTGATCTTTATATATTTTGAATAAAGAATTTTGATAGAACTTCAGTCAACTTCAGTGTTTCCATGACCAGATCATTTCATACGCGTATCTGAATACATTTTGCCAGGGCTACGGTCAAACTAATCCCAATCAGACATTTTGTACCCATATCTTAAGACCTATAGTGGGTAGCCAAGTAGTAACTTAGGACTTGTCCCAGCCCTAATATGAACACAACAAAGTGAGCTCCATCAGGCGCGACATGGAAATTTGCAAAGCCTGGTACAATGTAACAATATGCAAACAAATGTTCTAATTGGTTATTTATCCAAAAATAACAATCCTTCACACCTTATCCTTATATTGTCCAAATGAATCATTTTCAACTGTAGAAAAAGTAAATATCTACCAACATTCCAATTATACAGAAGGAGCTCCCCTGAATTTTATTAGTTAACAAAGTATTCATTAAATGTAAACTTTAAAAAGCTTTGGTCAAGATGTAATGCTTTATTTATTCGTGTATGATGTTTTACATATCCATGGTAATGCTCTAGATAAATAACAAATTATAAAAAAATATATTAAAAATTCCATTCATTTTGGGGAGAAAAACTCCCATATAAATTATTTCCCTGTGAAAATCCTAGGCTGTGTTTCAGTCTAATACTGAATAAAGCATTGCATGCACACAATGAAAGGATATTTGTTTCTGAAAGTTATCATTGGAAGCACTTACATTTCTGTACCCCCTCGCTCTCCGCCCGTCCCGCTTCAATCTGTCAACAGAGGTTTATGCAGCACCAGAAACAGTTGTTCACTAAAATTCACTATTAAATTGCTCTGGGAGTTTAAAGATTGACAAAGGGGGGCAAAACCATACCCAACATGTTAAATTTCTTTCAAGAATGATGAAACTAAAACGCCTTTGATAATGGCCACTTGGCAATTATATAGGCGTTTCACACTACACAATATTTCAGTGACCATGGTGACAGTCCTATTGTTCAGGAATCAGGAAGGCTTAGTTGTATGCCATATAGTATGGAAGTCCATTAGGGCCACAAAATTATTATTTTTATCTTGAAAATTTAAGACTAGGTGTCTTGAATTTTTGAATTACGAAAAAATGGTATAGCACTTAAAGGCTTCCATGACAACGACATTTTAAAGACTTAAATATTTTATGTGGTAGGATTAGTTTGTGGAATAGTTTTTTATAATTTGTTGAATTAGTAGAAAGGCAGCTGTGTGTGAACTTACTTCCACATGTAGCAGCAGAAGAGCAGGGAGAGAAGCAGGGTCATGACCCCTACCCCCAGCAAAGGGAGCGACACGTTGAAGGGGATCTGGGACATGTTCATGGCAGCAGCATCGTGGTGTTCCCATAGCTGGAACACAATAACACACATACAGTGACACATTTCTTTAGTCATTGTCTTCCAAAATTCCGTTGCATTGAACATTATTTGATAAAAACAGACAAACAGCTCCGTTCAGGGTACTGACAATTTCTTATAAAAATGTATAAAAATTGCATCCACAGGTCATTATACATAATGATGCCTCCATTTCAGAATGCTGACATATCAGAGGAAGGAGTAAATGCTGGTAACTCGCTCCTTTCGAAACTGACAAGGAACTCCAACCAAACCATTGATCAGGTCAGGTCCCTGGAACAGGTGGTCATTGAGTGACTCTTCACGATACCTCACACTGCAGTCAAAGAACACTCTGATTTTTCCTGGCTTCTTTGGGTTATATACTCCGTGGTGTGGAAGATACCATACATTATCATCATTGAGTTCCGAAGCTGGCACCTCTTCTGCGTGTCCAGACTTGATGATAGTTTCCATGAAGGTGTAATAATCCTTCCAGTATTTGGGGTTCGATAGGAACCTCTGTTTTTGTTGCATCAACCTTTGCAACACCACTGATTTGTTGTTTGGAAGATTGGGTTTAGAGTTTCTGAATGGTGTCACACTCGTAATGATCATCGGCTCTTTGATGGATGCTTTCCTTCAACTTGGAAAGGAATTTTCTGTCATCACAGGACAACATAACATGTTCAGACTTGTGTTCACAGAAATCCAGTTCCATCATTTGTGTCACAACATGTGGCACAATCTCTTCCTTCCTTGTTGTCTTGAATGACACAAACACTCGTTGGACATTCCCTTTCTCCATCGTAGGCGCACGCAACTCAGGGGGAACTTCACATGCCAATACTCTATGGCTTATTCCAATATCATCGCAATTCTCAACTTGTTTGTGATCAAAATTCCCACTATACCCAAGCCTAGATCTGTTCGCTCTCCGTAGGGCTCATTGTCGTTGATAGAAGGAATGACATCGCGAGGCGTCAATGCACGGGAACAGTTATAACCTATTAATAGGCCAACATCAATGTCACTCAGTGGCATGAGCTCATTTGCAATTTTCTGCAAGTGAGGCCATGATCTCGCCTTCTCTGGAGTTGGAATATGATCTTTGTTTGCAGGCATAATTTCCCTTGAATACGTTGTAGGCAAAGAAATGTTAACCCCACAGTTAAATCCACGTACAGTTAGACCACTGATCCTTTTGCTCTCTATTTCTTGGTCCTTAGATGACATGGTAGATAACATCAGATTAACACGAGGACCATCTATGTCCAAAGTATCACAGATACTGTTTAGCACAAAGGTTGTGTCCGATTGAGTGTCCAAGAGAGCGTAAACAAGTCTTTCATGTTCAGGCCGATCACAATGAGACACCCAAACTGGCACTATCATTGAACACTTGTCGCACTGTCCACTGTCATTGTGGTGAGAGACACTTGAATGAGCACTAGTTGCTTTCACAGGTAAAGATACCTGGTTCGGGTGGGGGTAATCGGCTTAGGTTAATCTGTTGTGCAAAGGATTTTGTTATATCTGCCAACTCCTGTGGAACAAATTCCCTGGCAGATGCATCAAGTTTGTAGATGGAAGTAGACCTGGGGTAGGTCTTGGGGTTTCAGTATCAAGATTCCTGCCTGCTGTCTGAACTATAGGAGTGTTCAATTGAGGTGAAGAGTCAATGTCATGTGTGTGCTTCAGTTGTGTGGGAATAGACTCAATATAGTTTGAGAATAATCCATCGCATCCTGGGCCTTAGACACATGTTGGTCAACTGGTGAAATATGCTCTGTATTATCCCTGCCATACATAACTGTATCTTCCAGATGAACTTGTGTAAGGACATGCAATCTAGCTTCTGCCATTGCTAGATTTTTCATAGTTTCAACTTTCCAATTCCGATCTTGTTTTTTCCTCAATACCAACGTACTGTAACTTCCCCTAATGCTGCCACATCAGCAGCCGCATCCGCACGAGATTTACTACTGTGGCTGGATTTCAGACTGGATATCACAGATATCTTATCACTCATTTTGATAGTCCTGTACTGTTGTCAAACAGTAATACATATGAAAATGCTGTTGTCATAATTTGGAATGCCACATGACAGTCAGAAACGAAGTTGAATTGTACTATTCACAGCAGATGAATCACATCATTCCGAAAACAGTCATGTTTACAACCTGCACAATATCCCCTATGCACTTCACGGCAGATTACTGTAATCCGTAACTCTTCGTAATGGGTGAAATAAGCTTTCGCATTCACAGAAAAATAGTTCACTACAAAGTGTTCGATGTAATTACTCACATCCGACAATGTTTTTTACTGTAACGTTTCTTGATTTGGTGGTTTTAGCTTATTGCACATATCTGGTTGATGTTCCATGCTCTTCGTGATGTAACCATGAGACGCAACACTTCATGATTTTTGATGGATTTATTACTGAGACCCGTCATCGTTGGCCACGTAAAAAACATTGTTAGGATTCAGACAAGCATAATACATCATCTCAAACATACACTTTCACTTGACAAGTTCAATGTGTAACGCAATCGTTTTCGCAAATCCCGCACATTTCACCGTATCGCATTCTTCAAATCATAACATGTGCTCTTCCCTACTTCCCAAGCGCGTGACACCTTCGTTACACTCTCGGTAACAGATACATGTTACCGAGAGTAGTATAGAGAGCTCCGCGAACGTGCTATCACTGGGAATGGCTTGCCCACTTCCGTTCAAAGGGATACAACTGGTCCTCGCATACCGCTAATAATAAAATACACATTGCTATATCGTAACACTAAAATATAAATCAACCAACATTACATCTATATTACTTGGCGTATAATGCTTTCATAATTAATCTATTGTGATGTTTGTAAGCCCTTTTGAATGTCTTAAGGTGTTTCAGGTGTTTCACATAGGTGTCAAGTCTCAAAGGTCAGCTGAGAAAGCCCACGTGACAACTATTTTCATAATGTCCACGGTTCTTAAAAAAAATCCATTGAGTTAGATAACAATGAGCAATCAATCAACGTATTATCAGTTAACCTTTTGAACAAAGTATGTTGTTTTTACATTGGCACTTCAAGCCATGATATGAGTGTATTCCGTCTGCTTTAATAAACCTACACATGTAAACACTTACTTTTGACATATCCACTGTGCAAGATAACAGTGATTAATCTATCAATGTATTTTCTGTTGACCCTTTGATGGCTAGGAATGATCCTTTGATTTACAAAAGAGTAAATTGACTGATCATTCATCTCTTGCTGGGCTGCCAAGTGCATATTACATAACACACATTTCACCTCACTTCAAACCTAGATTTTGATTGAATAATTACCCCAGACACAAGAAATGCCAAATGGGAACCTTTCACAGGTAATCTGAGTGGTCCTACCACTAATTATACCTGTAATAACTTCGTTAACTGAGCATCAAGTGAATGACGACAAATACACAAGTGTAGGGTTATCATGGTTATACCAGAAGATATGGATGACAACAAGGGAGTAGTAATCGTGTTGACAACGCAATTCCGAAATCCGAAACTGCTTTCACTGCATGGATACTTTTTTTTATTATTTAACTATAACCAGCAGTGGTATTTCCAAATGACGACATCCAATGATCTCTGCCATTCTTTTCGTCTGTTTTGTTTATGCTGAAGAAATTTATTAACATGCGCCCTCTGTCAAAATCTTCATAGATCACAGGTAAGTTATCAGTGTTCAAAAGTGCTTTAACAAATATTGCCGCCAAGTTTATTTAGCTGTCCTTGCAGATGGTAGCCCAGTCTCTTTGTCACGCTCAGATGCATTAGCAAGCAAATCAACTCACGGCAGCTATGCTCATGATGTCAACCACTGGATTGTCTGGTCCAGACTCGATTATTTACAGACGACCGTCATAAAGCTGGAATATTGCTGAGTGTGGCGTTAAACAACAAACAAACAAACAAACAAACAAACACAGACAGCCGAGAAGAAGCTAGAGATTAGTGCCCCTTTACGTCTGTCACTGGCTGATCACAGCTGATCACAAAAGGGGTGTTTTTAGGCAAAACGAACATTTATAAAGCTAAACACATCATCTCAAAACACAGTACAGTTATGTACATCTAGTGTCATATATGCAGTGAGGACACCCCCCTACTGTTTCCCAACAAGGGATTATCCGATAATCAGCTGGTGAACGCGGTCATCGTGCATCAGCATTTGCAGTTGCACCACGAAACATATAGTCTAACAAGCAGTTAATGCGAAATCAAAACCAAAGTGCATATTGTCAGTTGTCGACATGGACAAAGTTACCATTACTGAAATATCATACACGAAGTAAGAGCCACATTTCTTTACATACCCCTTCAATTGGCAAGTTGTTGGTTTTATAAGCATTCCCATTTGAGCAACTGGCACAGTAAACGAGTCATGTGACCTCGTTGGATTTCAAAACACTGGAACGACAATGTATTGTTGCCATAAATAATATTATCAACTTGATCAAAGTTTATTTTCTGCCAAATATCACGTAAATGGGTTATAATTGTCAGTATAAAATGGTATAATCGATTGTATGTGACACCTTCATTCTTACGATAAACAAAAGGTTTCTGGTAATTCTAGGCTGAACATAGTATCCGCACAACTTCTATCAGTAAAAATCTGACCGCACCAAACGTCTGTTGATTTATGTAAAAGTTTTATGCGACTGTCACTTATTTAAGCGAAGCACTTCAGCGAGTTCTAAGTGAATATTGTTTTACGCCGCATGCAGTCAGTAAGAAACCAGCACCACCACAGTGACCTGGAATGATTTGAATCCAGGCAACATGGCTGACAGCCTCCACAAAAATCACAAACACTCTGTATACCATAAATTTTACTTTAGCAACAAAATCAACATCTTATCATGATAGACAATGCACATACAAAAATGTCATCAGATTTTAGAAAAGTTTGGTTCTGAATTAGCATCCGGACTGCCGATTCTTACCCGGATTTTAACCACGTGGTCAAAACTTGATTATGTTTATCAAAAGACGTGTATATAATGTCTTTGGTTTATCGCAAGCAAAATGAATATTTCTTGGAAAGCACACTCAAATTTGCAATTTGGGTCATTACTTTAAAGTAATATTACTGATCGGTGGAATGGCTTGTTTTCACTTTATAAGTGTTAGCTCACATGCAAGCTGTCTTCGTTAATTTGTGATTCTAGCTGGTTCTAGTGGCGATGACTGCAAAGATCGAAGAGGCACGCGAGATCTGTGAAGCGAAAGCCACAGCAAGCAGCCTATGCCTAGTCGAGCTATATAATTTGCCCCAAGTAAACTGAATTGTTGCCCCTGCAGTTTTTTCATCTACATTCGTACTTCTGTATTTATAATATATTTATCGATAACAATAATATCACTGTTGTTCTTTCTTAGGCATCATTCAGAAGATGAAGAAACACGGTTATTTTCAATAACAAAATCTTAAATCCAAATTTTATTAGTTTCTAATTCCATTTACCGTGGCCATGCCAATGACCAAGAGATGATTATCAGGTAAAATAAGTGAAAAAGTAAATGGTACAAGGACGTACAAATGAAAACATCCCGTATTTTGTTGAATATATGTTATGTTGGAAGCAAATAGTATGATCTATTCATGTCACATGACGTAAACAAGGTGAAAATGGCGGAACGTCTTTCAACATTTTAACTTATGTTTCGAAATATTTCTAAAAATAGAACTAAAATGAACAGATCAGATCTGAAAATTGTCCAGTTTTATTCCTTTGAATATACTCTCTGGTTAAGCACGCTCACAAGCGATTATAATGAAGAAAACTGCAGAAGCAGTAACGAATGCTATGGTTGTCGGGTGGTCAAATCTTACGGTGACAGACCTTCCTGATGACGTGATATTTCTCATTCTGTCCTACCTGGACGTCCCGTCATTAGGCAGAATATGTCAAACATGCACATATCTGAGGGCCCTTGCGTCTTCAGACAGCATTTGGTTGCGATACAGCAAACGACATAACATTATCAAGGATCGGTAAGACACCTGACGGCATATGTTTGGACATGTTGAAATCGCTATGAAAACTAAACATCACTGCAGTGTTGTGTGACACGTTGTTTTGTCAAAAGATCTTTTGTCAAGTTTTTAAAACACTAATATAACTGATTAAAAAAATCTGAAAAGATTCCCGCACGTATCCCCCTCCAAAGATATATACAGAGTTCATTGGTATACTATATGGTCTTGATAATATATTGACATATAGCATGTTTCTTCCAATTGTATATGTTTTTGAGGATGGGATATCTTATGGAATCTCTATAGTATAAACTAAGCATCCCCCTTTGTTAATTTCTCAACACCCAGGGTGCTTATCATAGCAGATACAGTGTGTTAAATTGCTCTCCTTAAAGGGCCCGAACATTGACAGTTCTGAAGCATTGTTTGTTTCCCCTAAACTTACACGGCTGTACTTGCCTTATTCCAGGAGAGAATTATTTTTTGCTCCAGTGAACATTTATTCATTTTTAAGCGTACATTCTTATCCTGAATTAACAATTAAGAACAGACAGGCCTAATGTAAGCCTTCCGGTGCGCTTCACATATTGTTTTGCATAATTATATAGATATTCAACAATAACTGTGACAGTGAAATGCATGACAATTGAGCTTCAAATAAATATGCCAAGAATTTTTTTACATTTTAGTATATTTCCTGGATGAAAGTTATACATTTCATGACATGAATTGTTTATCTAAATTTGTAGTTGAAAGACATATGCAGATCTTGAATAGACTTGGTAAGATATGATGATGTGGCAGAGGTATTCCGGGTTGGAGAGTGCAACGTGATTGACTTCATATGACTGAGGCATTTATGGTGTAATCCAGGCTTTGATACACTGGCTTCTAATCCAATCAAGATGGCAATTGGAATTTTGTGACTCATCCATAAGAACACAACACAAGCTTTCCCTTCAGTTTGCATCTTATAACATGACCGAAGCCAGGTATTCTGTGCAGTACTTGGATTGTCGGCCTCGCTTTGAATCATGCTGGAACTAACTGTGTGAAATCACACTCGGAAATTATTTCTTGCAGGATTTAAAAATACCCAGAACTGTCAAGGTTCTGACCCTTCAATACATATGCTTGTATCACAATGCTAACAACAGAGACAGTTATAATGCACCTGACCATTTATGTTTATCAATTGTTTCTTCAGCTGCTGTGATTCCCTGAAGAACAAATGCAGAGTTGCCCAAAACTGGGCTCAAGGAAAGTTTCAGGAAGTGACGCTGATAAAGAATCCAGTCAGGTAAGCAATCCAAGTTTGTCTGCAAGATGTGCTCGAACATAATTAGACCCATGAACATCCGGGTTAGAACTGGCCTTCAGCAACCTATGGTTGTCGTAAGAGGCGACTAACGGGATCGGATGATCAGGCTTGCTGACTTGGTCGTATTCCAGTTGTGTGGATCGATTCTCATGATATCAAACACTGCATTGTGTGGTCCAGACTTGATTATTTACAGACCGCTGTCATATAGCTGGAATATTGCTGAGTGCGGCGTTAAACAACAAACATTTTTTACCCTGTTATGATGCCAAGGAAGAATGAATTACCGTTTCCCATAAGTGCTAGTCCGCTAGCCCGAGACTACTAAATTGTGCTGAGGGCAAGTAAACATTCAATGATGGTCACCGTCAACTAGTAGCACTTGAGGGCTATCATTCCGAACCAGTTCTCAATGCTTCAGATGTGCTACAAGTTGGAACTGTCTATAACTGGCAGAAAATGTAAACATTTTTTTTCTTCAAGCAGGACTACCGGTAGCTACAAACTCTGAAATAATGTTTAAACTATTCCTCTTGACTAGTCTTGAAAAAAATGAATTTCTAAGACTGGATTATCTTGGATTGCCCTTAGACTATTTTCTTAAATTTGGGTTTTGTTAATATTTCATTGAATGCTAAATTGTCAAACTAAACTTTAAAGCATCTTCTTGTTTATTGGTCCTGTTAGTTGTGAAATGCTAAGTTATAACTGTAATAACATGACTTGGATGTTTTTTCATTCGATTGTTGAAAATTTTACTGACATTTGCTTCAGAACAGGGCCGATTATCAGTCTCTGAGCAGTTCTGGAGAAATCCTTGATTCTAGGCTGACGTGAGTGAGTCGGGTTTAACGCCGCTTTTAACAGTATTCCAGTTATATCGCAGTGTGTCAGCTTAATGTGGGAGGGAAGCCCGAAGTGATGCAGATCTCAGATGTTTACCACTTCGGTGAAACCCACGAGCACAGGTATGGTGACAAACCTAGAAACATAATAAGGATGAACTGGGATTCGAACCCACAATCATAGGTTTCTGACGTGCCCAAGGGACACAACTCTGCACAGCGAATTGCGGTGCCTTAGACGACTGGGCCACCTGTGCCCCCCTAGGCTGACTGCTATAGCTGAAGTTTGGTGACCATGTTGACAGCGACATTAAACAACACTAGACAAGACACTTGACCAGCTCTGACTTGTGGTTCCATGTTGTAGTTGTCAAGCTGACACAGAGTAAACACGATGTTAGTGTTTTGCAGGTTGTTGCCTTGGCTACAGCATGATGACTCGCGGCTGTTTTTTTCATCCAAGAACTGTATCAAGCAGTATCAGGTCCTGAAAAATGGTCACCTCCGAGAGAATTCACAGCGCCATCTACGTGGGCCTAAAGAAGATGTGTGTCGCTTTGTTAACAAGAATAATCTCACAGTCTGTGGATGCAGGTAGGTTTCAGATTTCCAAATGGCTCTTATCAAGTCATTCCATAATTCTATACATTGGTGATTCCAGGATAGGTTAGGTAGCCTCTACCCATGCTTGTTATAAGAGGAAACTACTGGTTGATAAACCCCACAGCAAGGGACGTTGCTCATGATACAGCACTCTGGTTTGTCTGGTCCAGACTTGATTATTTGCATGCCTGGATATATCTTATTGCTGACTGATTGCTGGTGTTACACAACAAACAAACAACTGTGAGAAACTGTTCCAATTCAGGGGATTTTATATGAATGTAAATGTGATTGTTTTCTTGAACGGTTTATAGCTGATAAGTTGTAACTAGAAGTCTGCACTATCGCGTTATCTACAATCAGGTCAAATTGCAAGATGAGATTATCAAGTTTACCACATTTTACCAGTAATTTTACTTTATATGGGAAAACAATCCATGAATATGTCATCAGCATGATGATTGCCAAGCTGTGTGAGGGGCGGTCGGGTAGCCTAGTGGTTAAAGCATTCCCTCATCACAGCGAAGGCCTGGGTTCGATTCCCCACATGATGATTGCCAAGCTGTGTGAGGGGCGGTCGGGTAGCCTAGTGGTTAAAGCATATCCTTGTCACGGGGAAGGCCTGGGTTCGATTCCCCCCATGTGTTCAAAGTGAGAAGCCCGTTTCTGG